ATGAGATGTGAGGAATTTGTTGATCAAAGACTCAAAGACCTTGCTAATAACAGAAAGAAGACTGATCGGACGATAATTGGAGGGGTCAGAATTTTCTCCAGAGTTTTTGAATATTGGAACCACAGATGCCATTTTCCAACAAGCAGGAAAACAAGACTCAGTCAAACACTTGTTAAATAGTTTAGAGAGAATTGAAGAAAGTTCTGGGGAACAATTCTGCAAGACTGTGACAGGAATGTTGTCTGGACCACAAGCTTTTATTATCGAGTATTTGCAATTACAATACTTTATATACGATAATTTTTTTGTTTAGATTTTAGTTTGTATCCAAACTAAAAAATTATACTATCTAAATGAATTTAGAAAGAATTTAACTATATTAATTTAAGTATTATTAGCATGTCGAAATTAAATGCAAAACAGTCGAAATCAAATGCAACGGTGTCGAAATTGAATGAAACATTGTCGAAATGTACCGATACAATGTCGAAATTGAATAATACGTTGTCGAAATGAAGTGGGAATCCCTGTAAGTTCCTTTTTAGTCATACTCTTAGTCAAGTTTTTTCTAGACTTTTTAACTACAAAAAGTACATTTTGAAGGTGATCTTCATCTCTAGTAGCTGAAATAAAATCTTTAATGAGCTTAATGTTTCTTTCTTCACCATCATTTACAACAGATATGTTTTTGATCCATGCAATTAAATCTAGCAACTGAGGATGGTTAAAAACATCTATAGTATTAAGACTATTATTGAGCCATACTTGCTCTTGATATTTTAAAATGTTTGAAAAGAAGGTAGCTTTGCTCGGAAATCAACTCAGGTAGCTCTGTTGTCTCCCCAATTTGTACATTTGATGGTTTACAATGCTGAAGTTCATTTGGCTCTTTATACTCAATCAAAGCTAACAGCATTCTTAGCTTTTTTCAGAAGGAACTTGTTTATCCCCAAAAGACAAAACACAGAGTTGCGGAGTACCACGTATGGCGTCCCAAGCAGAGTACCATGTATGGTGTCCCAAGCAGAGATACAAAGCATTTCCAATATTTTTAATGACTTTACTCAATTCATAGGTTGTCTGGATAGCTTTCAAATCATTGTAGGCAGCCAGAAGTCCTAAAAAACTTTTCGAAAACCATGGAACATAGCAAATTGCAATGAACAAACTTACATCCTTCAACTGTAGCACTTCTTTTTCTGTCAAGATATTACTGATATCTTTGGTCATATAAAGAGTCAGGATGTAGATCGCATCTGCTAAAAACCTTGCCTCATGGCAGGCACCAGGTTGATAGAACTTAAAATCTTGTACTTTCGCCTCAAGGAAGAAAGAGGCAAGCTTACAAACTATACCATAATCATTCCTTGAAAATACCATATCAGTAGTTACATTAGTCAAAAATGTCTTAGCTTTCTCTACAACAGTGCGAAGAACAGAGGCAGTCTTCAGATCTCTTTGCCAGTCCAATTCACATAAATTTTTCACTTCATTAACTTTTTCACAGATTTCAGGCTACTTGATCTTTAGCTTGACATAAAGAGCTCTTCTTGGACCTCACCAGTAAGAGCAGCCATATAGTGAGATACATGTACTTCATATATGTGTCTACACATTATCCATAACATTGGTAGTTTCAAAATATCTGTAAGAATTTGGACTGCTCCATTGACTCCGCCTGTATTGCTTGCAGATGTATCACAGCATATACTAATGATCTGCTCTTAACATCCATAATATTCTAAAAGATTGTGCTCTTGTTCTGCTTGGTCAACTCCCTTTGAAGAGGGACATTAAACAACACCTAAAAGATGGTCTTCCATGGTTTCGTCATCCGGGAAACTCACTGAGACTGCAAGTTGCTTAATTTATTGAAGAATGTTAGGCCCAGTGGTAATTTGTTACTAAAGTTTGGTATCAAAATGAAGAAAAAGCCTTTAAGATGATTAGTTATTAAAATCCACTCCAAGTCTCCTTCAAGTTCTACAAATTTGAACTTTTGTCTATGAAGTGCGCTTCCTGAAAGCGGTATATCATAAATCTCTATACCTCCAGCTTTAAATACCTCACCTAAATTTGCCAGATGAGGTTGTACACCAACTTTGAACATTGTTGCTGAAATAGCAGTACATTCAATGAGCTTTTCAACATTCTTTGCTAGATTTATCCTATCTTCAGAATTATACCTAGGTATCATTTTATAATATTTTTTTTACCTATTTATAATTATATACTTTTCAATAAAACAGCTTTAGCTTGTGAAAATTACAACTATGTTATTAAAATAATACTATAGCTGCGTTTCTGGCTGTTACCCAGGAAATCTTCTTCCTTGCTGATTTTAAAGTCCTTGTTTGACTTTTTTTCCTCACTGCTGAATTGAATCTCTTCTGTCAAAGAGTCATGTGACAACAAAACATCATTGATATCTTTTATGTTTTTCTGTCTCTCATTCTTTCTCTCTCAACTTATCTAGCTTGTTCTTTTTCCTGTTTGCATCCAGTACTCTGCTACTGTAGTCTTCATTGACTTTTGTTCCCATATATTCTTTCCTATCCAACTTCTGGTCTTCATAAAAACTAAGAAATATTTAAATCTATTAAGACATTTATAAATAAATTAATAACTGTTCTAGTTTTTCTTGGAAAATGACTAAACCTAGGAAAGAGTTGAACGTAAATATTTTAAAGGAAATAATAAGCTATTACTTAAGTTACTTTAAATTGGAAAAAAAATCTCACTACTAAAAAAAGTATTATTTAAGGAACTTACTTTATATCTTCCAGTTTGGCATCATCTGTTCTCAATCTATCAGCAAGAATATTTTTTTCAAAATTCTTAGCCGAGATGTCAAAAAGCTAATAGGAATCTGTGAGAAAATCTTTCTCTAACTTTGATTGCTTATCAAGACTGCTGTTCCAATTTAGAGAATTTAATTAATTTCTTATATTTTAAATTAAGTTTAATAATTTTGGTCTTTATATTGTACCCAGAAATCACTAATTTCTTGCCAAACCCAGCAAGAATTATAAGAATCTGTACAAACACCATTTTCACAAACAAGATCCTTGGATTTCGATTTCAATTTGCAATCAACATTAGTAGAAGTGGGTTTGTATTTAACCTGTGACTCGCGAAGGATAAATTGATAGTATCTTAGAACATCGCCATTAGATGGAAGAGGTAAATCCTTCAGAGGGTACTTCAATAGGTAAATATACCTCAACCTTTTTATTTATTATTTAGTATTTTTCCATTTTTTCTTATTCTGTCCCATCATCTTGTTTATTTTAGCTGTTCTACCCATTTTTAAATGAATTTCAAAATAATCAGTTTTTTAACTAAATTTATACTAATTTTTTTCACTTGCATCAAAAATCTATGAAGTCGTTATTCCCTCTCATATCATATTTTATCTAAGTTTACCGTTACGGCTTTTATAACTGTTTACACAAGAATTATTCATGCACAAATTAGAATTCCTTCGTACACAAATGATTCCACTTGAAAATTTTTTCCTTAAAAAAAAATTTCTAAATAGAGTTATTTGTGAACCAATCCATGGGGATTTATACCAACTAATAATATTGTCCAAAGGCAATTATATTAATCGCTAACAATGTTCATAGGGATGTTTAATGCTAATCTTTGATAATGTCCTACGGGTATTATTTGTGTACCAATTGTTACATCATATTGAACCATATTAAAATGCTAGATAACGCTGTTTTTATAAATATGTGTACAAAACCGTAAAACTCAGAATTTACATCAATCACTTCTAGTCATTAAAGTATTAAAAAAAAGATTTTAGTTGCTATTTAGGACCTAAAGAATGAGGATCAGTTAAGAGCACATTAAAATTTTTTAAAAAGTGTGTTTTTGGGACACCCTATGGTTAAAACAGTATACAACAACAATAAAGCGTCACGAAGTTGTTTTACATTAACACAAGCTCTTTATATTGTTAAAACAACTTTGCAGTTTGTTTTATTGTTGTTTTAGCTTTTTACAATAACAATTAAATAATCTTAAAAAATAACATAAGCAGTTTCGCTTCCTCGTCATAAAGTTTTTTTAACCTTTTTAGTTGATTTCTATCTTGTTAATTTAATTTCTATAGTAATTCAATGATTTAATTATTTCATTTGTTTATCTTACTAAGAAGAATTGCTTCAAATGTGTTTAACTTTTCAAACTACGCCAAACATAAAATAGGTATTGAAAAAATTAACTTTTTTATTTATAAAATAATTTAGCTTAAATAAAACTAAAACTTGCGAACTTTGCAAATAAAGAGCATTTGTTTCTTTTTTAAACAATCATAAGTTGTTACTTTATATAAAAAACATCGCTTAATTTTATAAAAAAAATTACTAAAGAGCGATGTTTTGAAAATATTTGTTCTAAACGTAATTTATTTAGCTTTAAGTTTTTTTGCATTTAAAGATATTTTATTTGCCTAGTTTTTTTTTTTTTTTGTAATTGTTTTTCATCAGTCCAATTAATCTTTTGCGCTTTTTTTTTCTGTTTTTTAAAATTTTCTCAAAACGACTAAAAAATCTGGCCAGCTTTTTGCAACTAAATACTATTTACGTGGTCAGCAATCGAGAGCAATCGCTCCCGCTTCCTGACCAAGCCTGTATATACAAGATATATTAAAAATATAAATAATTATTATATGAAAATGTGCAAACAAAATCTAGAACATCTTTTATTAAAATTAAAAATTTATATAATTTTATCAAAATTTCAACTATAATTTAAAATTAAAACAAAATATATCTATAACATAAGATTTATTAAAAACAAGATATAAAAACTATTATATAAAAATATACAAAATTTTGTAGTTCAGAAAGTTGCATTAAAAAAATGCTAAATTTTTTCACCTACAATATTACTGTTAACTGAGTTTTTCGAAAATGAAAATACATGACACAAGAAAAAAAAACTATATAAAATATTATATCAACTAAATGTGAAAAACTTTAACTTACTGTAAGAGGAAAATCTAAAACTTGCTTCCTAAAATACAATTCTATTTTTTTTATAAACTTTTTAACAGTATATTTAAAACATAGAAAATGATTTATTCTAAAAATTTAAGTCAGTAAAAAACTCTTTTCCAACTTTCAATTTTAATTCAATTTTCTTATTTAATAATTTTTCTTTATTAATCATACTATTTTAAAAATATTTTTAGTATTACACAACTACTTACAAAGCAAGCATTTAAGTACTTTACCAATACATCATCCCCAAATTAATTTGTCATGAGTTCAAACTCACCATGCCCCTGGAAGTACTATGCTTAACTTATTTTTTTTGTTTTTGCATTTTTTAAATAATTTTTATTATTCTTTAAGTATAGCCCATAAATGAATTTATTGGCTATAATTAAACCTATAACTACAAAAAAGTAACATTTGTATTTTTCTATTTCCAAACTAATAGATGTTTTTGCAGATGCAAATAGTTGAGTCATAAAAAAATTCAGAATTCTGGCAAACTATAGTCAAAAACTAATTACAAATTATTATTTTTTTAAGTAATTAAAAGTTAATTCGAAAAACTAAAATACAAAAATAGTTAAACTTTGCTTATTACTATTAATTATCAGTAAAATCTAGTAACAGTTAAACTCCCTGTATCCTTGTTTTACTTTTTTTTTTACTGTGCTCCTAAAATTTTATTTTTGCTCCGAAAGAATAATTTTATCAACATAAAAATAAGCAAAAGTTTACAAAGGTTTTTAACATTATAGCAAAAAAAAAAAAATTATAAATTTTAGATTAGATTAAAAAACTTTTATGCTTGTTAGGCATTAAATGAACCACTCATTATTCAGATCAAATGGAACATGTATGGGGTACTTAAATACTTTATTTTATATCAATATTTACATTATAATTTATACATAATGGTTGGTTACCATTAAACTTTAATCTTATATCTCTAAAATACCTGAATTTTTCTAAAAAATAATAATACTAAAGTTAAACTTTTTTTTGTTCTAAAATAAAAATTAGTTCTAGATTGTGATGCCTCTACCACCTGATTCTAATATCAAAAAAACTAGTAATATACTGTAATTTAATCCCTTCACTTAAATTAATTTTTGTCATTTCTCTATCTATTTTAAATGCATCAATTTGAATGTCCTTAGTAAATTAAATTACTTTATAGCATATACCAAACTTTAGAATTTTTATGTTTATTAAAATTATTAGACCAAAGAAACAAACTTGCTTTAAACTTTTAACATCTTTAGTAGACTAAATGTTTAAATAAATATTTTTTTAAGTTTTTCAACTAAATAGTTGAAAAACTTAAAAACATTTGCCTCCGGATTCAGAATTGGATTTATCTTGTGCCTTGTTATATTGATTTTACAAACAGTAGTAGATGTCCTCGAAACCATGGCTTAAATGGCGGCATGGTGCAACAAGCAAAAAATATATACTTAAAATACTTTTTTAAACATTCTTATTAATTTTATACTATAATTTTATACTATTTATTATAATAACTTTAAAAAACATATTTTTAAATTATTAAATTAAATTTATTTCAAACCGTTCATTTACAACTTCATCTGTACTGATTTGTCTTGAAACAACTCCAGACGAACTAAAGTTAAAAAAAAACTTAAGTTTTATCTAAATTTATCAAATAATGCTTACTTATAGTATTTGTAAAAGAATTTGATACTATCAAATACCCTTGTGTTAATAAACTAATTGCTTTTAATTTATTCATATAGATAATTATCAATATTTTAAATAATATAAAAACTAATATTTTATATAAAAATACATGAAAGTCCCGGGTCTTTTTCTTCGAACTTCTTGGGTATTTAGAGTATCCATATTCATTAAAAAATAAGGTTTTGTTTTTAAATTCAATTAAATTGGTATAAACAACCTTCTAAAAGAACCTTCAAAAGATAGTTAATTACTAGTGTGTTTGTTGTTATTTAGAAGCGGCGAATAATTACAAACAGCGTCAATTACGAAACGGAATAACGTTGACGGTTTTACATATTTTCATTTTGTTATATTTATTTCATTATTTCATAGCTTTTACAGGCGTAGCTTGAGTCATCGACAGTAGGGTGCCTCAAAAAAAAAAAAATTTAATCAAAATGAGGAAATTGTTATCATTTAATTGTTATCATTATGTACAGGGCCGGCGCGAGTAGGGTTTTTTTTTTTTTTTGCCGTCTTTAAAAAAAAAAAAAAAAAAAAAAAAAAAAGGTCCTCGTTTTCTAAAACACCCCCCTATCGCGCCGGCCTTGATTATGTATTAATAGCTTATAGTAAAAATTTAAGCCTTTCAAATCAACTCTAAGTTAAATAAGGTGGTTTTAGTCAATTTTTATGTAATAGAATTTTTTTTTGAATATTATATTTTAAAGTTCCGAATATAGACAGTTTTAAATTTAAAACACTCACATCGAATAAAATAAGGAAGATACAGATCTTGTGTGACAAATTAATTTTTAGTTGTAATACTTGCTAGATGTTCTGCAGGTACTTCTTTGTAAATTTCTTGGATAATTGCTGTCTGTTTTTTTATTTATTATTTTTGACAACCTCGAAAATTTAAAATAAATTTTAAAAAGCAGGTTATTTTGTGAAATAATTAAATAATCCAAGCAATAAAACTTAAAAATAATAGTTCAGTTTGTTAAATAAAATGATATGGAAATACTTTCAGAGGTTTTGCAGATATTATTGTATAGCATGCGCGTATATTGGGTGTTGTTAGGTGTAAATTGTTAGGAGCATTGAACTTCTTTTTTTGTTATTAAAAATGAGCATGATATGTGTTTGCTATTCTAAGTTGTCTAATTTTTCAAAAACGACCCCCTCCCTCTAACAATTTACATGCTACAGGTCTGAAGAATAATTTTTAGTAATTACCTGAAGAGTATATTTAAGCACTCATCAAACACTTAAAAATGATTAATTTAATGATAATATAACTAAAATATTTAATACATTAATGAACCTCTAAAATTAAGTTAAATCGTGTTTTAACTGAAAACTTATCTAAGACTTTTAAAAATTAATAAACCTGAGTATTATTAATTATAAAACGATACCTTAAAATGGTAACACAGTATAAATAAAAATAAAAATTAAAAAATAATATAAATATGCATGACGTTAAAAAAAACTTTCGTAAATCACGCATCTGATAATATGAATACGCTAATTTAATAGTAGTAATAGTCGACTTACGTCATTTTCTAGGCTTTTCTATTTTAAAGTAGTTTCTAGGCTTTTCTATACGCGTTTTTTTTTTGTTTTTTTTTTTTAATTTACTAACAACCGTATTACGGGTTGCTTACTGCTAGTTTTCATAAATCACTCATTTGAAAATTAAAATGAATGGATATAAAAATGGAATTAAAATCGCACATACTTTTGGAAGCAGAAAATTTATAATCAAATTAATGTATACCTTCTATTAAAAACTCTTGCTCTTTTTACCAGCAAGCGCTTAAATTTTATTTATTTTTATAATATACTAGTTCTAATATTACACTATATATTATATATAGTATAATATTAAAACTAGTATATTATAATCGCTTATATTTTTGTTATTAAAATAACAAAAATATAAGCGATTGCTAGCAAAAGTTTTTTATAAAAGTTATACATTAATTTTATTTTATTATATACTTCAATTTTAATTTATATATATATATATATATATATATATATATATATATATATATATATATATATATATATATATATATATATATATATATATATATATATATATATATATATATATATATATATATATATATATATATATATATATATATATATATATATATATATATATATATATATATATATATATATATATATATATATATATATATATATATATATATATATATATATATATATATATATATATATATATATATATATATATATATATATATATATATATATATATATATATATATAGGGACTGCGACCATAATTAACGCCACTATTTTTCTAAATTTAGCAATATTGCTAGTGAAGGACCTTATCATTTTTAGGTGCATTATTGTTTATTATAATTTAAAGTATAAAAAAGAAATTTAAAACTTCCCAGCCTTAATATTGATAAAAATAAATATTTCTTAAACAACGATGTAAGTTGGAGTCTAGAAATGTTAGAAATAATCGACACAATCGCTATTCAGTATCAACTATTATAGCTACTTTTTTATCATTAGACTAGTCTATATCAAAACATCAATCATTGCCTTTTTTTTTATTATAATATTTAATACAATATTTACAAATATATCGATAAGAAAAACTACATGCGAAGAAACCGTTAAAAAATAGAAAATAAAGATAGAGAACGCGGATACTTAAAGAAGATCATACAGGTCTTGTCACCGAGAACCGCTGTTGAAGAACTTTGAACTTAATTTAGATTATAGAAAGAACAAAAATAAATAAATACAAATTTTAAACTTTTCTTTAGTTATGGTCTTTATGGCTTGAATTAAAATACTGATTCTTCTGAATCGCATGACCCAAGCGAAAACAATAATATCATAATATTCTTGATAAACAAATGCGTCTCGCATCTTACTCGCATCTATACGATCACTGAATCTTGTTACTTAAATGTATCTTACAAATATACTCATTTTAATTGTTAATTAATTAATAAATAAACGTTGGAATCTAGAAATGGTAGAAAAAATTGACATAATTGTATTCAATATCGACTGTTATAGCAACTTTTTCATCGTTTGACTAGTTGATGCCAAAAAATCAATGGTTGCATTGTTATTAATTCTTGGAAGAAGGCCTTTTTCACAAGACATCAGCATGAATGATTGTAAACTTGACTGGCTCATCAAGTTTCCTAATCTGTTCAAAAAATATTTCAATTTTAAAAATGAACTTTCACAAGCAATCTGTGATGAGGATAGTGTAAACACAAATTTGCTTGCCAGAAAAAAATTTGAATACGCAAGACTATGCAAGTTGAACTTTTGGAGAACAAAGTAACAAAAACCAATGCACTTTTTGCAAGATTTGCATTTAATTTTGTGGCTGTCACTATTTTTACTTCTGGGATTGTAAAGACAGTTACAAATTCTACGGATTTAGATTGTTGGAAGTTGTTCGAGACAGAGTCAGATACTTCCGTGTCAAAGAGCAAAATATGTTCATCTTCAAGAGATATTTCATAACTTTTCAATTTCCTTGCAAAGTCCATAAATTCTGTTTGAAGCTGATCTTATGTTACACTAGCATCAAAATTTCTGAGCAAACCACTCAGGTGCTGCAATGCGCCACTAGACATTTTTTCAAAATTTCTGCAAAAATTTCATGGATCTAAACAAGATAAATCAGCATATAGACTACCATGCTCTGAGAATCTCTGTTTTAAACTACTAAATACTTGATCCATTACTATGTTGTGAACATTGACACGAAACTTATCATTCGCCCTTTTAAGTAGTTGGTTCGCTCTTATTCTTTTCTCTTTCAAACCAGTCTGAACTTCAATGTTGAGATTCCTTTTTCCCAGTTCACTGTTTGCAAGTTCCGAGAAATTTGTAGCTGCTTAAAAAATGGAATCAAAATTTTTATCTATTTTGCTTAATTCATTAATACTGTCTTCAACCATCTTGTAGACTCTTGTATATCCATTCCAGTTGTTTGCAAATATTCAAACAATGGCGTTGTGTGCTCAAATACTTTTAAAAACAATTGTACCGTCAAAATAATTTAAAAACTTGTCAATGAATCTAAAAGAGCTTTCGCTCTGTAACGGACATCATTATTGAATTTGATTGATGTATCATGAAATGTTTGTAACATGTCAATTTACAAAAAATCAATAAGTTTTGTTTCTTGATTATTTACTTACTTATGTTATTTATTTACAAAATAATGATAAATAGTATTAAAACTTTGAATACTAAACATTTGCATAATTATTAGACAAATGAATGAAACCGTAAAAAGCTGTACTTTCTTATTTTAATTTGACTTTACTTTACTTTACTTTAATTATTTTAATTTGACTTTACTTTTTCTATCTTATTTTAATTTTTTTTTTTCATTTTTATTTTTTCTTTTTTCTTGTGGCGCCCCAGGGCCTCGTGTCTCCCGTAGGCAGCAGCCTATGTTTGCTTTTGCCAAAATCCGCCATTGAGTTTATATACTTAATATTAGGCGACAAAATTTCGATGTACAGTCAACAAAATAGTGTAACAAACATAAATAGTAACATAATTTATAACAACAAAATATTATCAATAATACCAAACTTTGACTTTTCTGTCAGTGAACAATACACAAAAAATAACAAATTAAAAGCTACATAAATATATATTATAAAATAAATAGTTTAACATTTGTTAACTAATTTGGTTTGTTTACGTTAATATAATACTACTTTCGGTCAGCTAAAGATGGCCGCCAAAATTTAAATAATTAGCCGGTAGATGTATAAGCCTTTAACTAGATGTAATTAGAGGCCAATGTTGGCTGTATATATATATATATATATATATATATATATATATATATATATATATATATATATATATATATATATATATATATATATATATATATATATATATATATATATATATATATATATATATTTATATATACCCAGCCAACATTAACAGACGGGTACCGTATGGTTTTTGTTTGGGCTTACGGGAACGGGATTTTGACGGGTAAGTGTTTTGGTTTCCAGACGGGTCCCATATGGTAATAAAATCAAGCATGTTTGCTCGTTTGGGTGTTATCTGGTTTTTATCAGGGCCGAAGAATCTGGTTGTTTGACGGGTTTTCCATAAGGTTCCCAGTTGGAATTTTTTATATTTTATAATATTTTTCTTATATATATATATATATATATATATATATATATATATATATATATATATATATATATATATATATATATATATATATATATATATATATATATATATATATATATATATATATATATATATATATTATTATATTTATACTATATATATTTTTTTTTTATACAATAATATTTTTTTAATTATCAGTTTAAACCTTTTGGCCAAAAGGTTTA